TTTAGCTTCCACATAGACCATAGCAGCTAGGTAAGATATGAAAAAAATCTTAAAATTGGACGAAATGATAAGAATGAAAAGATGGACATCCCCAGGATGCTGTGTATATATAAGATTTTAATAGCTTTCTGTCAAAACTTGAAAAAAAACACAGAGTTTTAATTTTTTTAATTAAACTGAATATGTGACACACAAATAAGCCAACTTTTTACTTAACTCTACATTTCTCATCTTCCACGACGTTCAGTAGCTTTTTAATACCACATAGAATATATTAGATTTAAATATTTTGATTATTTGTAGACAGTCTTCTAGCAACATAATTAACTTTTCCCCTTCATCAAAAATCTGAAATAAATTACTCTTTCACCCTAAGATTTTACCTTAACAAGACAGACAAAGTTTAAAATATAAAAAACAAATTCCTCTCTTATTTTTCAAAGGAAGCAAAAAAGATGATCGTCCATTCTGAATAATGCATTTCTGAAGACCGTATACCATTCTTCACCATTACAGTGATAATTGCACAAGAAGCCTGGATTAATCTTCTTCTGTCTTACCCAGAGTCCCCTAAAACATCCTAATGATCTCCTCCTGAGGTTAACATCAAGTCTTTGAAAAGGATGTAGATGTAAGAAGTTAGAAAGGAATTTAAACTCTAATTCATAGAACATCAGTCTCACCCTCCCCCAAGGGAGTAGTAGGGAATTACATATTAACAGCGCTCTTTTCATTTAATATTCCAAAAGATCAGCATCTGAAAGGGAATTAATGGGCAAGGAGCTGCAGGATGGCAAGTCACCCCAAGCATTAAAATGAGTTTTCATTGAGCACTTTTCCATTGGCCAGATCACCACAGGACATGAACTAAAAACACAGTTGTCAAGAGGTAGATGAGCCCCCCCTTTCCAGATGGGAAAGTGAGGCACTGAGATGCCTTGTAATTGGCTCCCCAAGTGTTCAGCAGCAGCAGCAACATCAGAGGCAGGAGGACCCGTCTACAGTTATGCACTCAATGGCCGACACACAGCAGAAGAAGGACAAGAACATTGGTCCCCTCCAGTAGCCTGTCTTCCATCTTGACGTATGGCATACAGAGCTAATAGAAAGGTTGAAATTCCATTTTAAAGTCGATGGCATGTCTGTCCTCCAGTGTCAAGCCCAAGAGATCAACACAACGGATGGCTATTGACAGACTTTCTCAGACTCAGGAATGGAGAGCATGTTGAATGTAGAGAATGTTTCAGTAAACAAAATCAAGACATGAAAAGCACAGTTACAGGAGAGAGAATACAATATTGAAAATCATAACTTCAGTTTGATGTAATGCCCTCCAAAGAGATATTTATGAACACAGTTAAAAAGAAATTATCAAACATTTGGATTTGAAAATTAGATTACACCTCTATGCTGATGTGAGCATTCACATGCCTTTAAACAAGGAATCAGCATATTATAGAAGATATTTCTCTTCCCAGAGTACAAAATATGTTATTATACACTGTACATAATTTCCCATGTTCTCCAAATACATTAAACAGTAGAAAAAAAGCAATGATTTCACCTAGCAGTGGTATTAGTCAAACAAACAATGTGATCAGAGTAGAGATAAATTGGTGGGGGGTGCTTTGTGTGATATGTGAGAAAATAAACAACCACAATGTCCTTTAGCTTTGTGACAATGTCCATTGATGACAATACCTCACTACTGTGCAAGTAGCCAGTATATTAGTGATACACTGACGTACATGACACACAGCACAATCCAGTTTATTCTTGTGATTGGTGGCTCGTGGTTACCTGTCACATGGAGGATGGCACTGGAAGACAGGGTGCCACTAGAGTTTTGGGCTTGAGCCACATAGAGGCCAGCGTCTGCCTCACATACCTTTGGAATGAACACCGAATGCTTTGTGTCCTTGTGCAAAACCTGTAAGTGTCCATCTGTGCACAATTTCTGGCCCTTCTTGAACCATGTCAGTGTAGGCTCTGGGAATCCTGTTACTTCGACTTCCAAAGTCACCGGGGAACCTTCCATGACAGTTACATTGGACAGCAGCCTGGAGAAATGAGGCGCCTGGCCAGCTAGGCTGACCACGCTGCTCTCTGCAGAGGAGTTTTTCCTGTCTCCTTGGGGACCTGCTGGCCTCCTGCTGGTGCCTGACTGAGAGCTGAGGCCGGGGGATACATCAGGGGCATCATGCAGCCTGTCCTGGGTTTTAGTGACATTAGAATCGGCATGCACTTTCTCCTGGGTTTCTAGCGAGCTCTCCTGAGCCTGGGCGTCTTGCTGCAAAGCTCTGTCGTGCACTTCAAGGGGCATGCTTGTTGGACCTTTCACATGGATGTGTAATTTGGTACTCATCTCCACTGATCCTTTGGAGGTTAGCGAGGATTCAGCTTTGAGTTGGGGGTAGGGCCTCTCAAAGTGACTTGTAAATGTGTCTTTCTCATTACGGCACCCGTCAGCAAAGGCAACGGGTGGTGGGAGAACCGATTCCTGGGCCTCCCCTAGAACACCAGTCCCTGCGTGTGTCCTGCCGCCGCCGCTGACGTGGAGCATGAGGGTGGAAGAGCTGGCAGGTTCCTCCACCTCCATGTCGGATGGTGCCAGAGGGGACTCGGGGCTGGCTGGGAGTGGAGGCAAGGAGATGTCGTCAGATGAGATACACTCAGACTCCTCCCCAGACAACATGTCTTCTGGCAGGATCAGACCCGGGGCACTGGCCTCTTTGTCAGGTGAGGACTGCCTCAAGTCCACAGGAAGCCCATCTTCCCGGGCTCCATGGATGGCCAAGGTATCTTCTCCTCGCATCTGCCCCTCATTCCTTTCTTCACTGAATGGTGTCTGCTCATTCCTCACCGGCTCCTTTAGGAGGTCAATGCAAATGTCGTGGAAAGCTTCCAACTTTGGATTCATCTTTGGAACATCTCCCTGCTTCAGTTTTTCTTTAAGCTCTACGAGAGACCCACATAATTCAGTAATAGATTCAAGAATCTCCTTGTGTCTTGTGACAATCTTCTCAGCATATTTCTGTCCTTCTTCCAAACCGTATAGGCGCTGAGCAAGGTCCATGACCTCCCGAATCCTTTCTTCTTGCTGAGGCACTGAAGGAGCAGCAAACTTATTGAACTGCCTGTGGAGGATTTCCACAGCTTCTTTTGTCTGGCACTCCATGGAATACTTTCCAACTCTTACCACTGTGGCACTTGCA